ACATATAAATGAGTGTGTGTGTTTTTTAATATTCAATTAGAAACTTTACTATATACACACGCGTGTATAAAATAATATATACATATATAAGTATTATTATTATACCCATTTCCAAAAACATTTGTTAATCAAACTGTTTCGGTCGATAAAATCTACAATATTATATTATGTGGTACAGTTAATAGTGCGCCGCGGTATATATGCCGCCGTGTTTTCTCTCCCACGACGACAGAATGAAAATAATATTATATATAATATATATTTTAAGTAAATTAAATAATATTATCATAATACACCGGGCTAATCGATTTGTATTGGTTTGTTAAACAGGTATAACTTATGATACTATCGTAAATACTGGCAACGTGATTTCGCCGATAAACATATTCCCGCAACATAACACGATATATTTTAAACTTCTGAAGATACTTATACGATGATGGTGTATACCAAGGTAGTAATAATATCTAGTGTTAAATGTTCTATGGTAGGCAGTAGGCACTGTATATTGTTCAGTGTTGTAAGAGGTATTCATATTTCATAGTCTCGACTTTCAAATGTATTATGTGTTTTTGAACAATTTGAATGTTCGAGTGAAAAATGTCAAATACCTATAATATCATCATAAGAGCAACGGGAATCGTTAAAATATTATGGTCTTGTAGTCATTTACATATTTTATATTATTGTCATTTGACAATGTTGATTTTCCTATTCAATTTATAAAAAGTGATAATCGTGTATTTACTTGTGTCTTGTACATTGTAGAAGTTAGATTTAATCAATAGAAGAATATTCAATATTCAAAAATTCTATTTAAAAAATATTTCAATAAAGTACAGAGTAATAATTTAAATAAAAAAATATTTGGAAAAGTATTGAATAAAGTATAGTATAGTAAGAACTGTAAACAGGCAACAACAATATACTTATTACTTATATATATATATATGTATATACCTATACCGGCTCTACCCATCGTCATGATATGCTCATGTATATTATTGGACCCTAACACGTTTTTTTAGTATAATAGGATAATATTTTAATTCGTTTCATATTCGTTGTATGCATATTGTTTCGTTACTATGATGTAACGATGAAATTTAAAATCTTTAACTTGGATCGAGAGAGGCGAGGGTCACTGCAATATCACTTATAGTATTTTTTCGAACTAAAAAATGTTGATTTTATTTTGAGTTTATATTGAACGATCTMAATTCAAACAAACGCATTACAAGTCATAATACGCAGGTATATAGGTGTGCATGCTGCAGGTTAAATGACGAAACCGAGCGGACGAGCACCGTGGTCGCTGGATCACGTACGAACGCTCATCGATAGGAAGGGGTGAGMGAGGAAGTACAAGACCTTTGTCGATGACACTCGAGCGCGAAAACACGGCGGCGGCRAGTTCGTATAATATATACAGTATCTCAGCGGCTGACACGGATATCGTGTTACGCGACAAAGGGCGCGAGCGTTCGCCTCACGTAACAGTCGCGCCCGAGTCGATATAATACCGTAAGTCTTAAATATATACAGTCTTGTATACTTGTACACTATATATCATATCATATCATATATTATTATATATATATACCTACATACGCGTGTGCTCACAGCAGCGTCGTAGTCTGTGCACCTGCACAGGCCGAAAACAAACGACGACAATATAATAATAAAAGACTATAAATAATGATRACAACAACAACCGAACGGGTTGAACGGAATAAAAAAACTAACTATACGGATAAATGTGAGTTCCGTGTATAGGTACGTAGGTATATAATATAATAATATTATATTGTAATGTACGTACACAGTGCAGGAGTATGATGGATATAGACGATTCGCGTGTATACTATATACTATATGGAAGTGTAGATATACTAAAACACTCGCACTGCACACACACGTTTATCTTAATGGTTACTTATGTTTGAGCCACTCGACTTGTGCGTGTGTACAGGTTTTTTAAGCGTTAACGGTTATTTATTATTATATAATATGTTTTTCGAAAAGTTTTCGATCGTATAAGATGGTTTTTGAAATATTTATTTCCGATGATTTTGAATTAATAACAAATAAAAATATAAGTTAAAAAAAATTTTTTTTTTTTTTTATTACTGTTATTATTTTACAGTTTTTAATTTAATATTCCTATATGCACATCATTTTATGAAAATTTCAATGAATAAAATTCGAATTTTGAACGGTTATGGTAACTATATAGTACTCAATTAGTTTTTATGTGCGGAAGATTATAGTAGACCACTAGCTGTATCTGTTTTTGCAAATTGTTTGATAACAGCTATAGAAGCATAGAAACCTGATAGATTTTTCCATTAACATCAATAGTTTTTGGGTAAAATTATGCTGTAAAGGGATTAAACCTTTAAGGATCTGAAGGAGAAAAGTTGTCGATTGAGCTAGGGAACGAGTCAGCGTAATGATTAATGAACCAGTGATACTTATTTATATGCCCAGGAACAACTCATAAAAAGGAGATTATAATAGACTAAAAAAAAACCACAGATTTTTAAAATAATGAAAATGAAAGGAAGTCGTTGCTGGTAAATGGCAATAACTTGAAAACTGGTTTGAGAATCGAAAATAAGTCATAGTTAACGCGGGGTTAAAGAAGTTCATCTTTTAAAACTAAGGAAATTGAGTTAAAATCGTCCACTGCAGTGAATTTCACATGGAGACAATGGACGCAATTCAGTTGGGGTATCGTTGTGTACTATCCTAGGACTTTAGGTGCAACCATAACTAAAGGTGATTGGGTAAAGGCATCATAAGGGATGGCATAAGAAGTAATATTCAGTGAAGATAGCACATTTGGGTATATAGCGTCATCATCAAATGAAAATGAAAATCTGAAGGTAGTTTCTATCTTATAAAACTAACAGAATCATAATAACAAAGTTCGACCATTATACTTTTTATTCTTATTAAAACCTAATAGAATAACAGTACTTACACTAATATAGGCATACACTTTACGAATAATATATGTATAATATAATTAAATGTAATACGCGTTATCAATGATAAGTTTTAAATACCTACCTAAACGTTTTCGATATACCTACCTAGTTCATAGAAAACTAAAAAAAAAACCCTTTGCGGTAAAAATCGTATACCATATCTTCCTGCCTTCGCCATCAATGCACAATACAATATTATTATTAAATTATGTACACAATAGGATGCTAAAAATATTATGTTGGTCAACGTCGTTGCCGATGCACTGTATACCTATATATACATACAACACATATGCGAGTGCACTGCAACAGTGTAGTGTTTTATGTGCGCGTGCGATTTATCCGATATAAAGTATAATAAAATACGCGTTTTATATTATGCATTATTTTATATTGTGTGTGCGTTTGGCTCTCGCTTCGACGCGTGTAATATACAAATTGGATTTATCGTCCGTGTCGTTGCGCGCGGTCTTCTCTCGGGGCCGAGTCGGTGCGTTGTCGTCGTCTTTCTCGGAACGGCGCATTATTATTATTATTATTATTATTATTGTTGCCGTACGCCCCGTAATAATATAATACCTATATTTCGCGTCTCCACGAACGCTTTGGTTACAATCGGCTCGAAGATCGCCGACGATTTTTTTCCCCATCATTATTGTTTATCTTTTTTTTCTCTCCTCACGATCCACCACTATACATCCTGTATAATATTTTTATTCGCCATTTACGATTTCCGATGACGCACGACACGACCAACGACGTGGTGTGGCGGTTTTAGGCACGACATAACACGAAATTATACAGCTGCTGCACAAGTGCCATGATATGATGATAATCATAATAATATTATAAGTATTTTAAACTGTCCCTGTACGACCAAGGGTGGTTCAATGCGATTGTATATAGGACTTAAATT